TTTTAACATTTATTTACATACATATTTATAGCCGGATATAATCGGATTTGAATTCCCAACAAAACCCCAATGGCCCAGATGGTTCAAGGGTCTGCATAGACAGCAGAAGGTCCCAGGTTCAATCAAAATACTGATTGTGGCACCAACTTTATCCAAGTACTCGCAAATTCCTCTTTTTGATGTTTAAATTTTTTTAAAGCATTACCGCAGGGCAGTTTAGAGTTTAGATCTATCATATTATTATTTATAGATATTATTATAAAGTATACCTAACGTAATTCACCATGTACGTCACTCGGCCATGTTATGTTGGCCTAAGCTATCGATCATGTTAAGTGGTTTGATAAAGAGTTGCCAAGGTAGCATTGATAAGTAAAATGGAATTTCCAAGAATTGATTGTGATATTCAAATTATCACTTGTATTTCCCTGATAGTCGAAGATTATATACCGTACTGGCGAACGTGCTGATCACCGAACAAGTATATTTTATATTAAAAATAGGCCTACAGACAGATAATACCTGATAGAGGAGACATGATGCAACTTAGAGCGTTATAACATCATTTCCAGCCTTCCACGTACATTTGTTAATCTTATCCCTAAAACGTTATCACCATCAGCCGGCGAAAACGATACAATTATTTTATAGATTCAGTCTGCATTTTAAAATGTAATGAATTTTAGCCTACATAGGCCTAATACATATACAGACCTATACAAATGGAGTGCGGTAATCATTAAAATCTGTTAATTTGTTAATACTTGTTTCTTATATATAGAAAGAAAACAGGAAACAAAGTAGACTTTTAGAACACAATTTATTTCAACATTTCGACCTGTTCTGGTCCTACTCACTGAGGAGGACCTGAGGACAGGTCGCAATATTCATGTTGAAATAAATTGTGTTCTAAGTCTACTCTGTTTTCTATTTTCTTTCTATATTATTCATTTATAAACACACGTGGAGACCCCTCTTCAATACTGTCTCTTATACACATCTAGATGTGTATAAGAGACAGTGTATATACATATACATATATGCATATATATAGAAAATATAGAGTAATAGTGCATGTTCATTTTAATTCAAGCGTTGTCAAAGACTACAGGAGTAGCCGTAATATTCGCCAAATAAATGTTGGTGTTTCTAAAGTCAACATCTTACGTATTTGAGTTTCATTACTATTACGCTATATTATATTCGCAGGTTCGAGTCCCGCCAGAAACATTTTATTACACAATTTCTTTATTCATTTATTTAGAGGACTACATTCGTTGAGAGCTATGCTACACAATGTGTTATTATGTCCTTTATTTGAACACTGTATTTACCTTTCTTTGATGATTTATGTATATAATTTAACAGTGTTAACGGCTATCTTGATTTATATTACAGCATATGCAATTATTTGTTTCTAGCTGTACTTATTGTGTAATGGAGTGTAACTGGTGGTATTTGAATCTGTTTAACCATGAAGCCTCCGTGGTCTAATGGTTATGACGCTCGCCTTGACAGCGAGAGGTCGCAGGTTCGAGTCCCGCCAGAAGCATTTTATTACACAATTTCTTTATTCATTTATTTACAGGACTACATTC